CAGCGTGCGGAGGTACTCTGCGGCTTGGATCACGTCCCTTCCAGGAGCTGGCTATTGTCAGCTAATACCCAACGCGGAGAGAGAGCCACACCCTGCCGCACCGAGGCCGCACACCGACCCGCCTACTTAACCTACACACTCTTCTGCTCCGAACATGTGCGGCTCATCTGGAAAACGCTGGCAGAAAAAAAGACGGCACTCAATATTCTGGAGGTGGGCCACATCGCGGATGTAGCCGCTCGGGAGTGCAAATAACCAACCCTTTAATGACGGGTTTAAAAATCACGGCGCTTATTTTGCTGGATGGGATAAAAAAAAAAAAAAGAACAAGTCAAATAAACAAATGCTACTTGAAGACTGCAGTTGTAACATTCCTTCATCACGGCTCTCTGTTCCGCGTGCGAGTGTCTGTTCTGCTGAGTGTGTACTGTAACCAGAAACCCCCCACTTATTCCCCAGATTGAGCCAGATTGTTTGGGGATTATGAGGGGTGGCTGCAGCTCTGAGCCGGGGCTTTATGTGTGTGGAGATGGTAACTGATTTAGCATGTGCTGAAACAGTACACCATCTCTTTGACCCCGGGTGTCTCCCCCCCCCGCCCCCCCGCTGCGGCCCTCGCACTCCCGGGTCTGCTAATCGATCCGTTTGGCACCCCGTGTGTGGTGTCTGTGTGTGCGCGGCCGGGCCGTGTGTCTGGTTAGCAGATGGCCGGGCCTCTGTCGTTTTGCCGTTCCGGTTACGGACGACTCTTTGTAGCCCCGGGGCCTTCGGCCTGAAAGACATTAGCGCTGTCCGTCAGGAATTAATTCCCCGGCTTCCTCCGGCCCGGGCAGACAGTGGCCCTTCCACTGTCCTCCTCCCCACCCTGTGCCACATGCCAACGGGGGCTGGGGGGGTGTTTGGAGGTAACGCGATATCAGCGTGCCAAAGATGATAAGACGCTGCCTTTGATGAGCCCCCAGAACGCCCGACAACTTTTACACTTGACCTTTCCATTACGGCTTAGGTCGCCGATGATTTCTGCCACTTCCTCAAACGATTCGTCTTAAGTCGCCCGCGCGTCCCACAAGTCCGTGCCCAGGCCCCGCCACACATGCTGCGCATGGGAACCTGACATATCTCACGACCCAAACCCCCCCCCCCCCCCAACTTATAAATCACGCATCCCCGAAGCAGTTAAAGCTGCGGCGGCCGTGGGGCTCTCATTCATCAAAGAAAACAGACAATAATTCAGTACACGGCGATTTTGCTTTACAAGATTGTAACCATGACCACAGCTAAGACAAACAAAGTCATCTGTACGTAAATAGGTTCAGTGATTCCAGAGTCCTGCCAGATGTCAGTCTGGGGGCAGCTGTTTATGTCCCCGGCTCACAAAAAGCTGCAACATAGCTTTGGGGGGAAAAAAAAGAAGAAAAAAAAAATATATATATATATATATATGTTCTTCCATACAGTCCCAGCAATGTGGATGGAACAAGTGAAAAATAAATAAATAATAGAATAAAAATACTAATTTCATGTTGTTCTTTCGTTACCTCTTTCCTCATTAAGACACCGATATTTGGACAGAGAGCAGAGTCCCTTTCATCCCGTGCCACAAAACAGTTCAACATAAAACGCGCACTGTGTATTCCTTTTCTGCCAGGGCCATTTATATAATTACACAAACATTTCAAAATGCACATGGCAGTGATTAACTGATGGTAAAGAGCTACATGTAATACATAAGCGCCACACCAGTCTGTGGTTTGTTGAGGTCCCTATCAGAGCAAATGTCAGTGAGCAACGCCTCGACGAAGGCCTGAAGAAAAGCAGACTCTGGGATTTCCCCAGCGCGCATATAATCTGCTGCAAACAACCTGTTAATAACCGAATATAGGGGGGGGTAGAATAATCATATTCTGGTTCCCTGAGCCAGCGACAATTCTGCTCTTTGACCTCATCTCTGGTGCAAACTGTACATGGTGGATGCTATAAATGCGATGCTTACAGGAAGTAGCACATGGCTTTGTTCAGAGCTTTGTGAAAAGAACAGAAAAACTGCAGCAGCAGGAAAGGTTTCGGTGGTCCTCCTTTCTTGCCATTTCTTCTTGAAGGACATCCCAACGGTCTTCTTAGGGGTTTCGGCTTCCTGTTGTTTCATTTTCTGTCAAGCCGATTCCACACCGCTTCAGTAAAGCTGAGGTCTGAGCTCCTGGAAGGATTCATCCCTCCATAAGAGCTTTTGTTACGGATTTTCTGAGAGCTTCCTGTGTAATTTAGTACACCTCAGCCTTTTTTTTCCTCCCAGTTTGCCCACTTTCAGAACAGCCTCTTGACTACCAGCATTCCATGGAAAACATTTATGATGAAGCTGCCAACAACGGTAAGTAGGTGCAACAAAAAGTTAACATGCATGCATCTGTCTCTTTAGACCAATTTTGAGCCAACTTGTCCATTCTTTTAAGTTTTGTCTTGGGTTTTTTTCACGTTTGCTGATATATGCTCATGTTTTCAGCTGAATCTCTTTGGGGATAACTTCATTTGCTCCAAAAATACTGTTTTATGCCATCTTTTTTTAAAATAATCAAACTAAAGAACAAATCACATATATTCTGTTATTCAACAAGTGCCAAAAGATACGATTAAAAAAAGTTTCATTAGCTATGTTGTGTGTTGTGTGTAGAGTCCTGGTTAAAGTCCTGAGTTGAGCACCTTGCCCAAGACAACCTGAGTAGTTTGAGAAGGAAAAAAGAAAGTCTGGATCTTCTGAAGCATAATACCAACAAATGAGTGGTCTCTCGACACTTTTTCACATTTTTGACCAAGGACAGTTGAAGTACAAGCTGGATTTTCCTTCCCTCCGCCATGCATCCGTGACTAACCAAAGCTGGAAACAGCTGGAAAAATGACAATCCCCATAAAGGGTTCCATCAAATTGACTCATTCACATAAAAAAAAAATTCTCTCACTGATGTTATTTTCTTTGAGATCATATGACATGACAAATTTCTTTACATAATCAGTCTATGAACCACCCTCTGATGTAGCTGCTATGTAAAACCGAGAGCATTCACTACAGATTACCGTCACTGTATGTACTGTACGGCTTTTTTTTACTGTATCCCTGAGGCTGACAGTGGATTTGACACTGTGCTATTGCAAATATCTGTTTTGTACAGTTTTGGGAGAAAAAACAGGGCTTTTTTAAATGTTATTTATGTTGAGGATTACTGCGTACAGACAGCAAAATCCGTAAGCTTACGACAAGGGTTTCTTTTTGGTCGACTGAACACGTGTAAGCAACTGCAAACCCGCTGGCCTCGTTGAAAGTTTGAAGAAAAAAAAACGGCTCAAACGCTTAATTTTTCCAAGGCTTAGAATGCACACGCCAGTTTGTTGCAAAGCGGCCAGCAGGCTCACACCGACCAGCGCTGCCAGCATGAGATGTCCTATGATGTCAACGTGACAGGGAGTCGCTGGGTTTCTGTCAGCGTTTCCCCTCAGCACAGAATCCTTTCCCAGTACGCCGCGATGGTCGTTCGCCACATCGCGGTGCACACATGGTGGGAAAATCTGTTCTCACTGCGCTGTGATGTGGAGAAGGAGATATCTGCTGCGTCAAGAGGCAAAAAAAAAAAAAGAGAGAATAGTTTCGGAAACGATAGAGACATCCATCATGGCTGCGGAGTCCCACGAGCTCTGGGTCCAGCTTTGAAAGCTTCAGCTTTATGGGTTGTCTGTGATCTCACAAAGGCTGCCTCTGAGAACACGCCAGCCTTTGTGGCACTACATCTAATTTGTTTGAGCTCGACATGATGTTCTGACCAAATGAAACTGAAACCGAATCCAACTCAAATACACAGTACAAGCCCTTCCCTACGCTTTAATGCTGCCGCGTTGATTTTCTTTCAAATTTTTCTCTCTAAACTATTTCACACTTTGCCCCTTTTTTTTTTTCTCTACTCACCAGCTATGCTCATAAAGCTCTATAGTGTTTGGGGTAAGACGATAGGGGATGGAAATCTCCGGGGGATTCTTACAAAGCCCTCAGTATTTAGCAGGTAAATAATCAATGCTGACTTTTTTTCCTGTGAAGCAGGAAGACAAACAAGATCAAGCTTTCCTGCCTGCCATCCAGAGAAGCTGTCGGTTTCAAGGCCCCTCGGCCGGTATCCCTCTTTTTTTTAGGAGCGCGCAGACTAAGGAGCGAGCTGGCTTTCAGCCCGTGACATTAACGGAGCCGTTTTCACAACTAGCAAAGCGACGGGCAACATGAGCTGAAGCTACTCCGTCCGGGAGCAAGATGGCAGGGGTTGTCTTTTTTTTTCTCCTTTTCTTTTTGTCTTCTACTCTCTCTCATAGACAACAAACAAACAACAACAAAAAAATACCATAGAATGAGGAGACAGATTTACAGCCAGTCGGGGCCAGAGGTCGTCCGGCTGGATGCTTTCTTGAAGAGGGCTTTTATTTATTTGCTCCATTCTCTCTTTTAGGTATCCCTTCGGCTCCCACCCCTCCCCCAGCATTCCTCCCTTTTGTTTATTCCATATAAATACAATCAGACTGGCCTGTGGACCACACTGGTATACATTCTCTCTTTCTGTTGATTTGTCCCTCACACATACACATGTACGCAAACACACACACACACACACGGGGAGCCTGCACGCTCGCAAATACAAAGGGAGCTGTTGACAAAGCGTGGTGGGCTTGTTAACAGACCACCACTCGATACCCGCAAACATTTTGACACCCTGATCTCACGAGCAGCTGCGGGACATGTTTGACAGGTTTTCCAAAATTCTGCTGTAATCGTTTTTAATTTCTCAGAGACCCTCGTTAACACTTGGGCGGTCTGGTGACGAGCGGAAGGGGCTTCCGGCAGGTGAGTCCGTCACCACGAATGGAAAACAAATGAGAGAACCAGGACGACGAGAAGAACATCTGACAGGGCAGGGAGACAGAGAGGAGAAAAAGGAAGGACAGAGGCCAAAAAGTGCCTGTGTGGCTGTGCCAGGCCTCCACACCAGTCTGTCGGTGAGGAAACGCACAAGAATGTGCAGCTTTCCAGTTTAAGGCGGTTTAATGAACATCCAGCGATCTATTTCTGTGGTGCTGTGGCATTTTGTGACATTATAACATGGCTCCATCCATTGGTCATGCTTTGGTTTTCCTGCATAGAGGCGGAGGTGCATTTGCATGAAATTGGGACGAAAAAGTAGTCATGATGGCTTTTTGAACAAAATGACATACTCAGGTATGTCTGTCATGAGGAAACAGGCCTATAAGGTGCCTATAAGGATAATACAGCATTTTGTCGAATGCATCTTTTTGAGACCAGATGAAAGAGTTTGATCCATGTCATTTCAATTTATATGTGTGACCGAAGCAATAATAAAACTTAAGGGATAACAATGGCGCTCTTTTCTCAAGGCTGAATCCAGGTGTTTCTGGAAAGTTTGTGTCATGCTTTGTTTAAAATTCCTCTCTTCCACAGTCTCAGCCTCCACACAACAAATGAACCAAAAAAAAAAAAACTATATGACCAACCTTTTCTTCCGCTTGCATTTCCTTCATACGCAGTTTTGCTAACGACAGCTGGCACTGATATTGCGTGTTCAACGTTTTAAAGGCACGGCACGACCAAATGTGACAGTCAGACGGTATTTGAACGCATCAGACGAAAACCACAACAGTATTCCTCCACTGAATATCAAGTCCATAAATCTCAAACTTAACTCAAGCGTGGCTTTTCTGACTTTTTTCTTTGCTTTTTAACAACCAGTGATAAATACTGGAACTTAAATTAACAAAATTTTCTTTGCTTTAATTTCTTCTTGCTACTACTGGTATATATGGCCCTGCTTATAGTGTCCAATGGAAAGGATATGAGCAGCAGAAGGACTACGAGCACGTTTCTTGGATAAGCAAAAGAATTTTAGCTTCAAAATCCTGTGGTACAGTGAATGCAGCGTGATTTATGAGTTAGTCGTAACTAGACACAAATCCTTTAACAGAAATATTTCATATTCAGGTTTAAACACTTTATGGATACTTGCTGTTGACTGCAGCTACTGTCGGGTGAAGTTTGAAAAGGGCTGAATTGTCCGGAGTCACTGACCTGTGTGGCTGCGAATATGAACCCGTAGTGTGCCGTTGCTGGCAAACTTCTGTCCACAGTACGGGCAGATCTTCTCCTTTTCTCCTGTGTGTGTCTAGTGGACAGAAGAGGAAACAGAGATGGTGACGGAAGCGTCCGTGATGGACTGTGGCAGATCTTTTGGGGGGGTTAGAATATGTCACATATCCAAACACTGAAAGCAAAACTCAAATTTATTTATTTTTGAATATTGTATCCTCAAATAAAGATCCATCAGTTTTCCTTCCTTTGTTCTAAATCAACAGCATTGTAGTCTGTATTATGCACAAGCCAGAAAATAGAGATAATCATCAGCACTTTAGATCATAGAAGAAAAACAGGCGATGAAGATTTACCTGGGTCCAGAGCCCCAGGGTTCCTTAAGGTTAAGGTGCAAATATGCATTCATCACTTAATACCCCCCCCCCTCTTTTCCCCCACCTCCTTTCAGTTAAAATCTGACCACAGTGTTGAGCTCTACAAGGCCATGAGAGCTGCACATGCAGCTCGTCTCTTTCTTGCTGAAAAGTGGCCTCTGAGTTCCTCCCCTCAGCCTGCTGTTAATTCAGAAGATTTGCGAGTATGAAAAGCCAAAACTCGGAGCGACAGTCTCAACACTGCAACAATACAGGCACACCTCCTCTAAGCCCCCCCGTCTTTCCAAGCGTCGCCCCAAAGTGTCCCCTCCGACGCCTCGGTGTTTCGTTACAAAGCCCTCCTTCCACACTCGCTCGCACAGAAGCACACATCAACAGGCACTGCCCTACGCAGCCAGGCACCCAACAATGCACAAACAAATCCACTTATATGAACACATGTGTCCCAGATGGGACAGAGTAGAAGAAAGTAGCTGGCTGTTGTTTGTACAACCAAGAAAACATCCCTGGTGTTAAACGAACAGCCAGGGGGAAGACTTTGAGATCCAAAGCTTATACAATAGATATACAGACATATAACACATGTACACACAATACATATAACATACAAGCACACACACGCACAGACATATATATATATATATATACTCCTACATTTATGCTATATTTAGATGAGACATACAATAAAGTGCTTGCATATTGATGCTGACACACACATGCACTCCCTCACATAACATGGATTCAGACTCAATAAGGAGAAAACATGTACTGTAACACAAGAGTGCTCCTCAAATGACTCTGGCCCTTTCAGGCAGATATGAGCGGCATCGCTGTGGTGCCGTGGATTGCAAAGCCACAAGATGTCCATTTTTCCAAATCATTCTTTTTTTGTATGTTATAAAATTATATATGCGCAGCGTCTTGGTTTAGGTGCACATGTTTTAGAGCATGTAATCAAAACTGCTCAGATCTTAAAAATAAAGACAGAAAACAGATGCTGAAATGACAAAGGAGGGTATTCATTCACTTGATAATGATTTCTTTTTTTTTTTAAAGTGAGTCTTGCTGCATCTGTTTCTGCTCAGAGAGGAGTCTTACTTATTCGAGAAAAGAGCTCAACAATTAGTTCCCTCAGAATTTTCTGGACTTTATCATGCTCAAAAATGTGAGAATCACCAACTGAAGAATCAGTTTGAATTCTTTGTATTTGATTTTTGCAGAGAAAACTAACTTTTATGAGTTAACTAGACAGAATTAATCAGCAATCAAACTCATTATGAAAGCACTGAACATAAGTTAATTTGAACAAAATATAATGGATAAAAATAAATAACCAAAGTTAAATTTTATAAAAAGGCTTTTCGTTCACTGTTTACTTTTAAGAGAAAAAATGTTTTGCGCACATCTGTGGAATTTTTTTTTTTATCATTTAGGGAACCAAGTTTGGGCATAAAAAATGGTGTCCAAGTTCACTTTAAATTAGATTTCAATAACATTGTGGTCAGAAGGCAGGTAACTGCGGCGTGTAAACACAGCCAGCGAGTTGTCATCTCCTCGGTGATCTGACTTTGATCAGGGCCAGATCTCTCAGCGGGCTGCAGACACCGTCAGCGCTGAGACACTTCAGCGTGGCTACTTTCGTCCTACCGCTCTCAGACATTTTCTTTTGCAGCGTGCCAAGAAGCTGCTTGGTTTCAATCTTGATCTGCGGCCACGCTGGACGCCGTCAGATTTGGAGCTGGTAATCTGCAGAGAGATCTGCTTGGAGTCTTTGAAAACCCGCAGAGCTAATGGGCTAACTGCCATTTATAATCGATAAAGGAATTCATTTCATACGCTTCGACGGTCAAGATGGATGACCTTTGCTCGTTTGACAGAGACATATGTAGAGTTTGCCGCATCGCTTTAATGAGACAAGGAGTAAGACGAGATCCAAATCAATAGAAATATTATAGTAAAAGGGTAAAGTTGCTATTTGTCTGCCTGCCAACTTTTTTATTTATTTAGCTATTTCAACCTCTAAAAAAATGTCAGCCTTACGTTTCATAACTGGTTTTTCGAGCTTTTCACAACAACCCCAATTTTCTCTGAAGTCAATTACCGAGAGGCTGCAGACCGTAATCACCGTGTGTGATTGAGGCCGGCCGGCTGCCCCCGACACTTTTCATTCACCTTCTTGTGGCTTTTCAGGACGGACGGGGTGACGAAGGCCTTCTCGCAGAGGTCACACTTGTACTTCTTGTGGCCGTCGTGCACCACCTGGATGTGGACGTTGAGCGTGTCCTTCCTCTTGAAGGTGGCGTCACACTGGTCACACTTGAATGTCCTCTCACCTGCGGCAGAAGGCAGAGGATGGACTGTGGGAGCGGCCGCTCTCAGGGGGGCCATTGTTGTGCCTCTGAACACTCAGCCATCACGCACAGCAAGACGGGACCCAATTTCACCGGGGGCGATTGTGTGGGCAGAAAAACTACATAAGAGATATTTATTGCACCAGGCGGCCCCAACACAATAGTCTTTTAGAACGGTCCGGCTCTGCTTTAGTTGTCTCTAAGTGTGGAGAGAGGGGAAAAAACGAAACAAAAAGAAAAAAAGCCTAACTTTAATAATCATTCCACTGAACAGCGCAAATATGCCATTCAGACTGTCCGGGGCGGACACTCTTTCATCGGGGCACAATCTCAGAATGAAGCCTGATGTTTCTTTCACGCCTCTGCACTCTGCCTCAACACAACGGCGTCTATTGTTGTAGAGCCGATGTTTCCATTATATGGAGATCACTCAATCTGAACACAGCGCTCTAGATTGGAGGCAGCAAGCGTCTTGCGAGCTTGCGCTCGTTCTCCGGTTACCTGGCCCGGTGATGGTCAGCTCAATAAGACGGGGAACAGCAGCGGAAGCTGAGGTTCACCGTGTTTCAAATCAGCCCGGAACATTGGCTTGATGATAATTAATGTCGGCGGCACCCTCACAGACAGATTCCATTAATACACGGAGTGCTGCTTTGGTCTCCTATGTAAATGGGGACAGTTTCACACAAACACACACACACACACACACACACACACACACACACACACTCATACGCACAGAGCGATTCTTGAGACCTTAAAATAGGATCGAAACCCAGCAGCTGACACATAAAAGTGAAGAGATTCATGCCTGCTGATTTAAGTGTTGATGTATCAACTTGTTACACTCTATTTTTAATGTTTTTGAAGGTTATATACAGAGCCAGAAGCAAAATCGCCCCAAAAAAGTTTCGAAGGGGCTCGTCAAACTGGAAAATTCTCAATCTTTGTCAGCTGGCTGAGAGCTAAAATGTGCAAAACTTTCTAAGGGACCCAAGTGTAATCAGTCAGTGTGTAATATTCTGGGACACCTTAAACTCTATCGTTATTACTTGGCCATTGTCCAAAGTGCCTGCAAATTCCGACAGAACAAACCTAAAATTGCACAATGAAATTGTTATTTTAAATTATTTTTTCTTCTCTTTTTTGAGAATAAACCTTTCGCTTATTGACTTGAGCCGGGTCATTTCTCAGCAACTTTTTTTTTGAGGGGGGGGTTAAGAAGTGCTATAAGATCCAGAAATGAAAGATTATGTCATCAGAGCGCTCCATCCGTGGGCTTCGTGTGAGCTCGGGTCCACCGTAGTTTAAGAGACAGGCAATTTTATCTCATGGCCCACTAATTTATTAACAATTTATCGAAGTCTCTCACCTACAGTAGAGTGAAATTTCACACTTGATCCCCGAGCCCCAGATACACTGTCTAGAACTCGATACACGATACAAGTGCTGGTATTATGTTGCCTGCCGCCTGGGACAGCAGCAGGAAATGCCTCGAGCTTTACAATCTCTTTTGTTATCTGGCTGAGTTTGAAGACCCGAGCTGCATCCTGCCAAGCCTCCACCACAGCTCGACCGTCCACAGACAAACTATGCAGACCGTGTTAGGCTGATGTCCTTTCAGGGGGAAAATGTGTGTTATTAATAGGAAAGATCCACTGGGGTAAGTAAGAGATGATGACGAATAAAATGTGGAACTATTGGCTATAAAACTTGCCCAGTTGCTTTTAAAAGTTAACATTTCAAAATGACTCGAGTTAAAGTATATGGATAGAATGACTCGGGTCATTTCTTTTTTTTTCCAAACAATGCTTAAGCTATCAATCATCAAAATAGCATGGTTTGTTTTTTTTGTATTCTTTGGCTTCAGATTCAGAAAAATCTGCATTTGATTCAAAATATAGAGATCTAACAATCTAAATAGACCATCTTGACACTTTAGTCCTAGTTGAACATAAGGCTGAGCCTGTAACAGATAAATATTTCAACCCCAGAAAACTTTGAAGAAAAAAAAAAAGAAGTCTTACAGAGAGATTATGTTACTTTTGAGACAAGAAGCAACACATTCTTCCTCTTACAGAACAGTTGAATTCAGAGGCAATTACATGCATCATTACAGCATGAAAATACACTCAAGACTCTTGCAGCTGCAGCCTTTCCTGGCCTGGTATGACCAGAGCCATGTGGCAGCTACTGTGTGCTAAGGTTGGCTAAATTAAAGCTGCATATGCATTTTACATATTTACGTATGTTTGTCTATTTTGGGGTTGATGGGGTGGCGTGTTGGTACATTTGGTGCAATAAAAAAAAGCAAAAAAAGTATCATATATGTGCCAGTTCGGATCAACTCCGGCGTGAGACAGGTCGCTTCAGCTCATGTCCCTCACCACAATGGGAGACCCTGCCTTCAGCTCAATCTGCTGCAACTGGCTGACTCTATCAGACTTCTGACATATCTCTGGGCTTCTTTATTTTGTTTCCTCAAAGTGTTAACTTCTGAAGCGGGTTAAAAAAAAAAATGGGCCACACTGGAGGTAACAGCAACCCAGTGAGCAACCTCAATAGCCTCCTAAACAGAGAGGCACAGAAATTTGGAGGTGAAAGAGAATTGGGTGTGATCGGGGTAATGCTTGCATGGCGACTCGTGACCCTAGTGTGCCAGAAAAGGAAGGTGTCATTACAGACAAAACAGGGTGGCCTGACAATTCAGAATAAGAACAGATTAGTAAATCCTGGGCTCTGCGATGGACTGGCGGACCGTCCAGGGTGTACCCCGCCTCTCGCCCTTTGACCACTGGGTTAGGCTTAGTCCCCCCGAATAAGCGGTAACAGAAATGGATGGATGGATAGTAAATCCTTTCAGAGATGGAGCCAGACACTGGACCAGAGCTGATCCTCAGCCGACACACTCTCATCCTGGACAGATGAGCCTGTCAATGTGCCAGTGATTTCTAAGTGTCTTACAGTTGTTTATTGGCTGTGTTTATACAAGTGCTCACTTGTGTCATGTTGCTGTGATGAATTCAATACGCGACCGCTGAACACGTCTAAACAGTCCAAGGGTTGCGGCACAGAAAAACCCAAGTGAAAATCTCGTGCGTGGTATTTGTTGACCCCATTATAAGACTGTCTTTATGCTCCTGCGAGCGGCTGCCTCTGCTCAGCCCCGCGTACCTGCAGGGGCGAGTGTTGACAGTAAATGCAGCCATTGAAGGGGCCAGATGCATCTGTAAGGTCCTGTGCGAGGTCTTTGATGGATTTTTCCTTTTTATTAAAGCGCACCACTTTGGCCCCTCCGCTTGTTTTGTAAGTTTTTTCTTAGATTTTTCAAAGGACAGAGTGCAGATCGACAAGTTTTCAGCTAGCAGCTCGGTGAGCTTTGAAATGTTATTTTCCGTCTGCAGAACGGTGTTATCTTTGCCGTTATTGCGCAGGCGCGACCAAAAGAATGTGCAGGGAAGAGCCAGAAGAAGCTAGCCATGATGTGCTAAAAGAGAGAACTCTTAACAAGGCTGTTTGTTTTTCAGTAGATACAACCCTGTGAAAGATTGCCCAAGACATCTTTAAAACATGCCAAGAAAGGTTGGCTCTTTTGATTCGAAATGCAAAGAAATAAGTACAGTCCCAAGACATTTGAGCAGTGCTTGGGTAGCATTACCGCCCTTGTATTACAAACTAATTATACATGCTGTATGAGCCAAAACGTGCGACATGTTCTCTTTGAGAAGAAAAAATAAATCCCTACTCACTGTTGTGGATGAGAAGGTGGCGCTGTAGCGAAAAGGGGGTGCGGAACAGCGCTTTGCACTCCTCACACTGAAAAGGCCTTTCCTCAGAGTGTGTCTGCAGAGAAAGCACAACAGCAGAGGTCACAACGTGTGCAAAGAGATTCTCTCTTGCCTTGGCGTGGAAGCCCAGATTGCTTCCTGAACTGGCCCAGTAAAAGGCTCCATTTCCGGCTTTGTTTGTTGAGTTGATAAAGGTGAACCAGTTAAAAATGCTTCCGTATTTTGTGAAACTACTGCCCGTCTATCCTGACGACACCTCAATCCCAAAAGTAATCAAGAAGAACTGTGAGGGGGGTGCACGGAGCCCACCAACGAGGCTGATCGCAGTCTGACTGATGACGAGACTTTGAACTGACTGGATGCACCCCTTACAAAATCCTGAACAGGCTTGTGGGATAAAGAAGACAGCAGGGAAAAACCAATGGATCATTCGGTGTGACACCATAATTGCTCACCTTCTTGTGATTCTTGTAGACGTTGCGGTGGGCGAACTCTTTCCCGCAGAGCTTACACTTGTACGGTTTGTCCTCGCTGTGGATGATCTTGTGGGCCGTCACCTGGTCCAGGCGCTTGAACGAGCGACTGCAGATCTCGCAGGTGTAGGGCCGCTTCTCTGAATACAGAGAGACGGGGACAGCTCTTTTTCTAGAACACGGCCATAACACACAACGAATGGCGCCGCGTTCTCTTACCGGAGTGTGTGATCATGTGGCGTTTCAGCTGGTTGGTGGAGATGAACTTCTTGTCGCACGCGTGGCACTCGAATATTTCATGTATCTGCGACCACAAAAGCAAACAAGAGGGAGCTTTTACACTCCGGTTGATCTTTTTCTTTTTTTTCTCCCTTTAAATCTGCGGAAGTTTGAGGCCAGCGTTCATCTGAAGCTGAATCTTGTCTGTTTTCATTACACTGATGTCTACGCGCAGAAAAAGCAATTAAAGTGATGAAAAGTTTCAATCCTCTTCCTATAATTGCACGCTGAATAGTTCCCCGGCACGCGCCTCCAATAGCATATGCTAATGCTCCTCTTGTCAAGGCCGCTACTGCAAGAGCTTGTTCAGCTAAATGATGATAATGGAAGTTTTAATCCCCTTTTGAGCTGGTACATTGCCATTGTGGAAAGTTTGATTGCTCCTCTATGTGAATAACACTTTATGCTCCGGCGGCGTCGATTTATCGGGAACATGTCATATTTATAATAAGACACCATGTTTAAATAGGATGTCATTCTTTGGGGCATCTTTATGTTTAGGTGGAAAAAAAAAAAACTTGTCAAAACTTGATGCGATTGCAACCTAAATTAGCGAGGCCCATTCCGCCTCTCCGCTATCCGTTTTCTAACAGACAATAGCTCAGGCGTAGCGTGCGATTAGAATGGAATTATGGCCCTCTCTGTTCATGCCTTGGCCTGCAGTGTCAGTCAGGGTACAGTCAGCATTTATGTCTTTCCAGAATCAAATAAAATACAGCATTAAAATAAGGAATTTAATAAGAGATCTTAGGTGTATCCAAGTCTGACATAAAGCCAATTAGGGGAGAACGCAAAGCTGATGGCGCTGGATAATGGCAACATAAAAACGTTTTTACAGAAATTGATGGCATTAAAATCAAGATCTTGCACATAAAACGCCAATACTTCACAAACGTATCCTATCCAACGTTTCCGTCGGAGTTTAATTTTCTCATCGAACCCAAATATTCATCTTGTGAGGTCACCAAATTCTTTCATTTTCTGAGTCCAAGTGGATGATTGGGCCAAATGCGAAAAAGATTCCCTCGTGGCGTCCCCTCGTGAAGCTCAATCCCATTCATAGGAAGGGATGGATGCGAAGAGGGACAACCTGGAGACTGCATATGTGGAGAAAAACACTTCCAGAACTGATTATTACATAACCGTGAGCCCGGCGCATGCACTCTCGGAGGTCACGATGAAATATCGCATGCTCTTTTTCAAAACGCCCAAGAGATTTGAAACAGAAGGATAATAACTCGCAGACAGGAGCAGTGCAGGGCAGCTGTTCGTCAAAAATTCCCGGTGACACTGAAACTAAATCGTATTTTTATATTATCTGTGTTTGAGAGCATATATTTGGTCGTCAGGCAGTCACCACCAGCTAAATAGGTCGTTTTGGTTTGGGCCCTGCAGAAGTGAAAATATACATCTTTCAATGAGTCCATCCGCCTGAGAGTAGGAACTCGGTGACACACGGGTGAAATACTGCCCACACATGCAAGTGCTCTCCGTGGTAGCCGCTAAAAATGTCGACAAGACGCAGAGGAGTGGAGCCCCGACGAAGTACAGAGTTGATGGAGCTGATGCGCGACGGCAGAATTACGACGCGAGTTCTCTCTGTGCCGTTTCAAGTGTTAGAGCCAGACCTGCACGTGACATGCAACAAGACTTTCCCCAAAAGAGAAATCTGTGGCTGACCAACTACGCCTGGTTCAATGACACCGAAGTGTTGGAGAATAACACTTTTGGAAGAACAGGGAACCGCTGTACAGTCTTATTTTGACAACAGTTGTTTTTTACACAACAAGCGTGTCTAAAATATTTTATCAAGAGATCAGGAGGGTCGAGGGGGTATATTTTGGATAAATGTCCCACAGTTGGTGGCCTGATCTGGGTGATGAATTACTGAACAACATACAGTAGGACATATGACAAAAGACTATTTGAATACTAACATAATGTCCCAAATCCTCCAAAGTGCTGATAAACTGGATGGAGAGCAAAATGGATCGCTATGCTGACAAGAAATGTTGCCTGACTAAGACTAGGTATGGTAATACTCCAACATAAAGCGTGATGGTAGATAATAAAGTCAGTAATGTACCGGATTAAAACCGCAAATCAATGTACTTCTGTCTTTAGCTACAGAAAAAAAGGTACAAAAGCAGGTTTAGAAAGACAGATCATCTCCCAAATGTTTGATTCGCTGTGTTAAATAAAGGCAGCGCTCCCTCTCATTCATTCGACAGGGGCCTGCACTTTAAGGGTGCCAAAACAGGGGAGGGGGGTTGGAAAAACAGTGCAGACTCCATTGGTTTCCAGTGGTCATTTTCCAAATCCCCAATGGCTTCAGGCATGATCGTCATCGTTTTTTTTCAATAAGGCTGACATCGTTTTTACACAATGCGTCAGATGGGTTACAGATTAAAGGAAAAACCAGCATCAGTTTTCCTCAGCTAGGTGTGGGGCGCCGCACATTGCGATAACGCAGCTGTCTTGAAATGAGACATTCCTTGGAGAAGTCTCTGAAAGCCTGCCAGAGAGACGGAACATCCTTTTTCCACAAGATATCCCCAAGTTTGGCGTTTTGACGAGGGGAGGATGTAGACAGCAAAAACTGATGAGCGGGTCCAGATTTTCTCCCCCCGCTGCTTAGCGGGGTTGACTGTGATGGCTGTAGCATCTGAATCTTCCATCCATCAAAGCGTTTATTGAGCTCTCAGCGCTCTGACATGGCTACCGTAGCAGCCTTAATACCACCGTCTGTCTGAAAGGGCCTGTCTGCCACATGTGACTTCATCCACACCCCCTCTGGAGACGCCAGTCACTCCAGCATCTGGCGCGACCCAATCCCAAATTCATGGCTCGCTCCTGAAATGTTGACCCTTGACCTGCATCAGTTTGGGCCCGCGCTGCCTTTTATATGTTCCACGACTCGGGGTATGACCCTAAAACCCAGAGGTGCAGCTCATCTTCACGGAAACACCTGCCTTTTGGAGTTCTTCTCAACCACATTCCTCTAAAGTTCATCTTTGAATTTGTCTGTTTCAAATGAGCAAATCTCCCATGATGCAAATGGAAAAAATAAAAAAAAGGGAACTCTGAACTTGCAAAGTGGCCAGTGGAAGCTCTCTCTGCTGTTTAGCTCCCAATTGTCATAGCAAAAAGGCATAACCATCATTCATACGTGTCAGCAACATTAATAATAATAATAATCATTTAACGTTATTAATCTAATAGCAGATAATTACAGTCAAATTGCATGAGTGCGCAACAGAGGAATGTGGCCTGGGAAGGACGGCTCCAATACCGGGTGACTGAAACAGCAAACGTGTGAACTGAAAAAGCGCGCTAACAAAGCAAATAATGATCTGTATGAGAATACCGTTCAAAACAGCCGCCTTCAAATCTGCAATCCATCACCGAGGAGGAGGGCTCTGATGCCAAGGTTAAAACCTCACCGTCTGCCAACAGACCCGCTTGAGTTTCACAAGACCTGCGGGATGAGCTAGTGAAAAAGAAATCATCCCCTCTGCTCCGTGTCACCCAGAAAGCGTTTGCAACAAGTCGATCATAAAGAGGGGATAAGCGGACCCAGAAGCACGTGAGGCAGGAGAGGTCACAGCGGGTTACAGAAACAGAGGTGGAGACCACCACCGAAACGGCACCGGAGAGACGTCTCTGTGAAGAAACGAAAAAAAGTGGATCGTGCGAAAAAGCGCGAGCCGAGCAAATCCTCAGCAGACTCGACGCAAAGTATCTGGCTGGGATTAATTGAGCTGTGCAGCAGATGTTACCCAAGCCTCACCTTTCTGTGTTCCTGCAGGTTCAGAGAAGAGGAGCATTTTCGGTTGCATATGGTGCACGTGAGCTTCCGTCGGGCACTTCCTAAAATAAAGAAACATGTTTTTTTTCAAAATCGACGATTACAAATGACAAATCTGCTTCTATCTGTGGAACTGACAAGGGCGAGCAACAATTTTATGAAAGATGATCGCAAATTAAAGGAAAAACGACTAGTAATAATCACAGGCCCTGTGATCCCGCCGTTTTCGGAACCAGTGGCATCCTCCATTTATCCCCATCTAAATTACACGATCGACATCTGTTGCGTCTGATCCACTTCCCCCACCTCGCCCACACACAGGCACTCGCACACCCTTTGTCCAGACCGCGCTTGGGAAAGACACAAAAAAAGCCAGATCTGAGCCCCGTCGGCCTTCTCAGATGAGTGCCTTAATCTCGTCTTGATATGCGATTCACACGAGAGGCTGCTCGGATTCCCACTGGCCTACATCCCGTCGTAAATGGCTGTGGAAGTCCAATTATCCAACGGCCTGAGCCGCCCCAGAACATGCAGGTCAGCAATTACGGAGCTCAAGTAATTAGAGATGTGCCCGAATATTGCTGGGGCGGGGGTGGGGGGGGGGTTAGGTTAACTGATTGAGGTTGGCTAACAATCCTTTTCATGACGCGATGTCTTTGAAATCCCCAAATACCTCATGCTTGTGAATGAGCGTGACAGAGTATTCGTTTAAAAAAAACTGAGAAATACAGAGAATGAACAGAGATTCTAACCTGTGTGAACGTTGCCTTTATGTTTCTTCAGAGCATCCTTGCTTTTGAATCTTTTTCCGCAGCTCTCTGCTTTACATATGAACCTGGCGTCCCCTTTGCAGGCTTCTTTGTGCTGTTCAAAACTGCGCACACGGGATGAAGGGGAAGAGACAGAAGGAACATAAGCAAAATGAAAAGCAAATACTATTAGTTAAGGGACATTAATGTGCAGCAGGGTAACTTTCCATTACTTTCTGGATGTTTTGGGTTGAGCGCATTACCTGGACTCTGAGCTGAATGTGTTGTGGCAGATGGAGCACTGGTGAGGTTTAGAGTCTCCCGATGGATCCAGTGACTCAGAACAATGCAAAACACTGAGAGGATATTCAAAGTATAAACAAAAGAGATACCAAATAGAATTTGAACAAATACACATCAGTATGACAGTTGAAACAAAGAGAAATAAGAAAAATACAATCTGAGTAACTTAGATTAGTTATATTTCATTTGTAGATGCTTAAATATCTACACACTAGATGTTTTATGAACATTTATGTGCAAATAAAATACGAAAAAAGAGTGTCTTTAAGACACTGCAGGTCATAAAACAGTGTCTGCTTCAGTTACAATAGAATTTTTTTTTTCATCATCAGCTGGGTGTTTATGAGGGAAAAACGCAGGACTTTTCCACGGCTGTGACCAGTAACTAAAGGTCCTAGTAACCACTAAGGTATTCTAAGCTGGTTGTATCTTAACATTCCATCTAACGAAACTCAAATGACCAGATGTGCTTCAGGTTAGGAGGGGTTATATCAATATCCTCATGTAATCCACATAGAGAAAGTAAATAAGTGTATTTTTTTTAACTACGTCTGACTTCTGGGTAATACATTATTAATGTTACCTAAGACACCTAAAACGGAATCTGGAATCTACATTGGACCGACTTAATGCGTCCAACCTTCTCGACACCTCAATGCTGACTGTTGAGGGAGAAAGTTGACCATGAACGGGGTCAAGCAATGTAACAGTAAACCCACTGGCGCTGCAGAGCTTGTTTGATGGGGAACCTCTTGCTGCAGTTCCTGCATTTGAACTCCTTCTCCTCTGTGCTGGGTCTCTGGTGCAAGCTCTGGAGGTGAGCGGCCAGGATCTCCTCACTGGGAAAGCTGCTCTCGCACAATAAGCAGGGGTGGTCCTCCTTCTTTATTACAAGCTCTGCAGAAATTTGGCCCATGCAAAAAAAACACGCCACAGGAATGAGTTTTTCTTTTTATGTGGGCACCGCTGATTTATAACTTGGCGGGGTTGCGCCAGATGATTTTTACCCATTTCTACGAGATGTCTGGCCTCTTTACTACTCTCATCTTCGTCTTTAACGACCTCCTCCTCTTCCTCCTCCTCCTCCTCCATATCGCTGTCCAGGTAGCCTATTAAGAGTTCTGTGTCAGTCTCTATGTCATCCACAGCCAGGTAGAAGATGTTCTCCCCATCCTAGCGGATACAACATGGGTTGTGTCAGGGTGATACGGAACAAACAGAAAATAAGACAATGTGAAGACAAAACACTTTGACCCGCTGCTTAACCGGTTCCAACCTCTTATGACCCGGACTACTGAGAAACGAATGAAGCCTGCTGCGGTTTGAACTCATTACACCCGCACAGACGTGGCTTAAACTCTGATTGAGGCCACAAGTCAAAGGCACAAAGCCTTAAAAATGTGTTCATTAACTCCCCTGTCCTTAAAGGTCACGCTAATGAAATCAAACCGTCATTTTGTTTTAATTATGGGATTCTAAATGTACATAAATAATGATTAAGAAAAGGAGGGCTAAACAATAAATGTCATTGTTGATGAAACACAGAGATTTAACTTGCATGCATGACCTTTAAACAACCAATCACTTTGTGTGTTTGAGTATTAATGGCAGGAACTTGGCCCTTAGACCTGAAGTGCTCCTATTCTTCCCCTTCCACTTCTATTTTTCTTCTTCGACATAAGAGAGCAATTCTTTTTTTTTTTTAAACACACAAAAGTGCAAAGGGGTGAAGTTTCCCAGATCCCAAACTCCAAAAGTGTGTGTGAATTTTCATTCCACATTTTCTTTCTTTTTCCAACTTTTGTTTTTTTTTTAGGGACTCTTATACCTGATCACCTGATACCTGATTGCCTAACATTAATTGTAAATGTTTTAGAAAATAAATTAAAACAATATTTATCTCCTTGTCCAATTTTACACCCAATCAGCACGCATTTATAAAGATTAGAATGGCTTAAACATCTGTTCGCGGAAAGCCCGGAGCCAAAGTGATATGTTTTGCACTGTAATTGAACAATATCTATCTTTTAGAAAGCAATTTCGTTTAATGGATTGTTCCCCCACTTTTTTGGCTCTAATCTGTTTTCATAACAAAAACAGTCCTCGCTGGCAAGTGCGTTTAGCTTTCCTTTTAGATTGTGTGGTCGTAGGCTTATCTTATCCAACGCTATTATCTTGTGTGCTCATTTTCTCACAATTACTTAAACTAACACAGTCATGTTACACATTTTACTAAATATATCCCCAAAAAAAAAAAAAACTCCTGTTGTCTTTTCTTGGATTACTACAGGAAGAAAAATGTGACAACTTCCATCTTGCTCCACAGATTTCCATTCCAAAAAGACATTTGTCGTCTCTGACAGATGTGTACTGCCTGCATTATTTATGATTTTTTTTTCTTCTTCTTCTTCTTCTTGAGGAAGAGAAGGGTTTAGGTATGAGGGATTTATTGTCCAACGAGTGGAAATGTACCTGAATCGCCGCCAAGTTTTTCTGCTCTTGTGAAGGCGCCTGATGGACAAACCGCAGCCAGTTGGCATGGCGAGGATTACTTGCATCCAGAATATACAGCACATCTCCTTTACTGCCACGGACCTTAATAAAAAACAAAGAAAGAAAGAAAAAAAAGCAGTAAACGCAAGAGCTGTCAGGAGTTACAACTTGTTCTTCTCCCCTTCACTTGAACGCTCGTCTTCTGTGCAGCAAAGTGTGCTAACCTCCCATATTAACGCAAACTTGCACGCACAGCTACAGATAAGTCAGAAAATGACTGGTCTTTGTGGTTACCAGCAGCCAGATTCTCTGTATTGACCAGCTCACCACTCTGCCAAATAATGGCATGTCTCCTTTATCACAGAGTAAAATAGAACATGCTTTAAACAGCCTATGTTTCCTATGTCACGCGATAAGGACTGGGATTTCCACTGAACTGGAACCAAATTTCCCAATTTCATTGGTTGATTTCCATATGTACAGTTGCAATCCCACCCCCCCACCCCCACCCCGTAAATCAGACTTATTGGATTTATTGTATATACAGACAGCTGATTTAAACAGTTCAAAGAGGAACTGTTTATATAGCTCAATGCAGCTAATGGGACAAGTAGCTTTCTCAAATTCAATTAAATACACCACTTTTAAACACAACTGAAATGCGTCCTCATCAGTACTCGGTAGGGTGGATTTATGCTGTCGTGACCTGCTGTAAACATGATGCAAAGCCAGACAGCAGCGTCTGGCAGTGCTCCTAAGAGATCTTCACCCATTCTCCATGAAAAAAAGTTCTTTCATAGAGCTTTTCAGTGAGGTTAAAGTCATGCAACTGCGAGGGTCACTCTAGTTTCCTCTGGGAATTCGTCTGAAACCAAGCCTTGGCTGACTTTGTGGTGTGCTTGGGATTGTTATCCTGTTGGAAGAGTCAAAAGGACTGTGGCAGCAGACATTCATCTCTCTGCCACCCGCAGGTAGTGTGGCCACTGTTTCTTTTAACTTTAAACTTCTTTAGCGACATTTAGTACGTAACCAAACAAGGGCTTCATTAGGGTGCTGATTTTCAACATTTGTGGGATTCTAATATAGGGGTTAAATCATTGATTTAATGTTGGATTTGGATGAAGTCCCTGTTATTGTAGTTTTATTTAACCATTTAAAACTGTTCTTATGCAATTTTTTTAGAACACACACACCAGAACTCATTTATATTTGGCCTGAAAAGGTAATCTTAAGTTGGGTTCGAATCATGGCTGGTTTCGCACATTTAATACTTGGTCCCAATTCCAAAGTGGTGACTTGTTAAAAAGACCCACAAAGTAAATATCAGGAAACCTGAAATAACTAAAGAGAGGGAAAGTTTTCCTTCACAGGCTGGTGTTTTCCAGGACTTTAATATTCAGTCGTAATAAGGGTGGTGTAAACATATATAAATCTTTGCCGTTGGGCATCAAACAGCAGAACTCTTTAAATCTGCGGACATTGCATTGTCTTCCTTCCACCTCCATGTTTGTTTCACTAGAATTCTGTCTCTCTTCTCCATCATGCTTTGCACACAATTCAACTCAGAGGACTTTTAGTGGTCAATCTCAATGGGAGGATGTCAGTGGATTTTTTTTTTGTTTTTTGTGATGAACTGTTGATGAGTTAGAATCCATCCCTGACAACTGTCAGCAGCATTTTACAAGTGCTTGTCCATCTTCTATATCGAAACTGTCATCTTTGCAGGGGGTGAAAGAAAAAATAATCATTGGGTTTAATCAAGCGTGCCTCTGGGTCAGTCAATCAAACACACACATACAAACATTGAGCCAACTTGAAATAAGACCTTCTTCCTTTTTTTAAATGGCCATCATACACAAAACCTCTGCAGGTCTGTGCCTGGAAGAGTGAGAACAGTGCGGGATGAGCGTGCATTCACCTCCCACATCAGCCTGGTGTCCGAGCTTTCGTCCAGCTCACCGGGCAGCTTTTTCTCACCGGCAAAGGGTCCAAACTTTTCTCCCTTGAAAGTAAACAGAGGGACCACTAGTTAAAAACGTGATGCCTTCAAGAAACATGGAACGCGGCCAACCAAATGACATAAACAGGAACACAAAAACATAAGTCTGGACCGTTTGATCATTGTTGAATGGTAAATGGTGTAAATACATCCCTCAGCATGGTCATTTTTTCCCCCCCACCACCAAAAAAAAAAAAAAGGGGCGTGTTTAGGATGTTACTGGCCTTGGGTTCATATCCATCTCCAGTGAGTGTCACCTATTTGAACTGCCAAATGACTTATAAGCCCAGAAGCATTTCAGAGCTTCGCGCGCCTTCTGACGAAACGGGTTAGGGGGTGTGGGGTGAGGGGGGGGGGGGGGGGGAAGGGGGGGGGGGTCAAAAGGAGAATAGTTCACTAGAACGACTGGTCGGAAGTTCAAAAATCCTGCATTTAAACCTAACGCTTGACGCGGGCGTGCGCGAGAGCAGCGCCGCGCGAGCCCCGTCCCGGCCGACGGGAGCGTTCAGGAGCGGAGCCGGAGTCGGAGCAGCAGCTACTGCAGCTTACGTGGCAGGCAGCTAACGTCACAGAAGAAGGGTTGAGGCTGAGGCTTGACAGCAAGCGTAAGGAGAGAGAGGGAGAGAAAAAAAAACGACCAAACAATGTTTCTAACTTTTTACAAAAAAACGCTTCCGGCCACTAAAGTCGGCTTCACGCAGTCAAAAAACAAAAACAAAAAACAAACCAACCTTTTTCACTCGCTTCGCCGTGTACAGACCGATTCCGTCCTGGACCATGGACGATTTCAGGGAAAATCTGTCTGGCACGTACATACCCAACATTGTCATCGTTCGGAAACGTTTCCTTCGATGACAGATAGTTGGCCGCGAGATATGTCAGCGGAAGCGGGGCAGCATTGTCGGTTTGAATTTTGAGCGGATGGTTTGTTCCTGAAGCCGTCCAGGTTGAACTTCTGGTGCTCCTGGAGTAGGAACTGGGAGCGGCGTCCTGATTGGTCCAAAGTTTGTGACCAGAGGCTACCTTTCTGCTGTGCTGCGCGCTCCAGCGCGTGCAGTCAAACAAGCGCTTTATTTACTATGTTTCCAACTGAAACTGGATGTTTGAAGTTGGAAAGTTTTCACCAAAATGCAATTATGTAATTAGAAAAAAAATCAAAGGTTAAGTTCTTAGGATTGGCTTATATTTACTAGTTTTAGAATGAACTTTATTACTGGATTTCATGTAGTTTACTAACGTGTTTTTTAATTATTACTATTGTACCGAGACACTGAACTGTGTCTGTGATTGTACTTCCAAATTCCTCTTCTTTCAATGAGACATCAGATACATGTTTTTGAGGACAACATTCAAAAATAGGTTTCTTATTACATGTCAGTGGAATGTGCATGGACTGAGAGCAAGCCTGATCATGGGAGATGGCTCTGGCCAGTCTGACTGGGATGCGTCCAGCCCTCTTTCTTTCAAGATAAAGATCAACCCAGAACTGAAACCCTCCGGGGGAGATTTGTCAATTAAGAGCCCAGCGCTGATTTACTTTACCTTCTCAGACTTCCACTGAAAAAGTCAGAGAATGTTATATCTGACACAATGGCATACTTTATGATAATAAGTGTGATGTTATATATGATCAAATTGGATCACATAGTGACTAGTCTTCAGAAAAAGATGGTTATTTCATGTGTAAACATGCCAGCTCTCAGATTAGACCGTGAAAAATATATCCCACCAAATATTTGTGTATTATATCAAAGATATAAGGACAATAATATGACCAAAAGTGTTTGGAAGTTAGCTACATGAAATGTATCTCGAAGGTTATGGCGCACTAAAATATGTTGAAATAGTTGCTTGTAAGAGCCATCTTAGTGCAGCTTTTGTCTCTAATGTGGAAGTTCTAAAAGCATATTGTTTATAACAATTACATATCATAGCTTGTAAAGGTCCAAACAGGCATATTACAATGGTCAAATATCCACTAAAGTTCTCCTGTAAGATACATTTCAGACTAAAGACTTTCGTCTTGTGTGTCTTTAAATCGTAGGGTGTTCAACTCCTGTTACTGATCAATTTAAGTCAATTGAGTCAATTGAGTCATGCTCATTCACCCAAATTGTGAACGAGCGGGTATCGTCCTATACTAGCTGGAAGCAATTTCTCATTATTAGACATGTGACAGAGGGCAGGGAGTTAGGCCGAAAGATTTGAGGCAAAAAATCTGTCCTTCAGTAGGATTAAGTATTTAAACACAATCCATCCATACCTATTAGGGGGATTTTGAGTATACAATTGACCTAACGTGTTCAGGACAGCGGGAGGAAGCCCAGGGCACCTGGAGGGATCCCACACAAACACAGGAAGAACATGAACACTCCACATAGAAAGGCCCCCCAGTCCCCCAGGGATTCAAACCGGGAACCCTCTTGCTGTGAGGCGATGGTGCTAACCATACCACCACCATGCAGTCCTAAATTCAATTCAAAACAGCGTATATGGAGGATACCGCACTCTGAAGATCACTTTATGTATAGTTTTATATATTAATGTCCAACATGGTGATGGCAGCAACGTTCGGTTGGAATGTTTCTCTGGGCCAGGAGCTGAGCCACTAGCTATGAAACTTTTCATTAAATAAAAGATGGATTCTGTAGAGGGAAAAAAAACAATGCTAATGGAAAACCTTTATAAAAGTGTTTGGCAGTTAGCTTGAGAATTGGAATAGCCAGGGATCTCCATGGAAATACGGGAGAAGTTTGCCTGGGGTGATCCAATCAGTGTCTGGCCATAAAACCACACAAATATTGTGCACTCACATTACCCTGAAACTTCCGAGAGTCTGAGAGGAGCCTCCAGAAGAGCGGAAGAATCCTTCATTAATTTTTAATATCTGCTTATTCCAAATAGGGAGATTAAGAAAAAGAAATCTGTTGAATCTATGATAAAATGTGGAAAACTTGGACGAGGCTAAAAAAATATCCCTCAAACACTTCAAGGTAGACTAATATAAGCATGACCTAATGTTATTTTGGTTAAGCTGGGCAAACTTATTATGTTACAATATGAGAAAACTCCTTTTTGTGAAGTATCCAGTGCAGCTGGTGCGTGCAAATTGTCCGGCGGAGAAAATGGATGGCCCAGGTTGATCATCATTGCAGATGCACAGTCATTAATGTTAGGTCATTACACAGGAAATTGTTGCACTTAACTATGTTCGTGCACTTCAAATACCTCAGGAAAAACCACCATGATCAATTTACAATTAACCCCAAATCCCTTTAGAAAACCCAAAAGTTCTGTGTCTCTCATCTTGAATGTGTTGGTTCGCTGCCAAACCTTTTCACCCTGAATCTGGCCACTCAGCAGAAAGGAAAAGAACAATATACCGACAGTCTAGGGCTGCTGGAAAGGATGGTTCTTGTGGTTCTGGTCTAAAGCAGGCAGCACTTCAAACACATGTACCAAACCATTAAAGAAAGATCTGATCATGACGTAGTGTACTATATCCTATATCACATATTTTTGTGAATCTGTGGCTGTTTTTACCTCACTTTCAGACACGTGATGGAGCAGATGAATATTTTATTATGCCTTGACATGGAGGGCTCAGAATGAAGCAACACTTTTTTTAAATGTTCAAGTCTTGGGCTATGTGGAAGCTTTTAGTTTCGTCGCTTGCATCAGTCAAGAATATTCAGAAGAAACCATCTGTCTCATGTGCCTTAAAACATGACTAAATGTTAGTTTCTGGGCTGTTGATTGAGCCATTTCTAGATGAAACGGGTTGCCGTAGCTCTGGTGTACGGCCAGTTGGCACAAAGCTCCCGTTCAGTGGAAAACAAATTACAAGCTGCACTAATAGCATGATCCCCTATGGACTAAGAGGACGCAGTCGAAAAAGAATTTGGATGTTCATTACAGGACTTGATTGTAAGAGGTAAGTTCCTTAATAAATAGATGACATCAGTTGGTTAGAAATCAAAATTACTGGCTTTGGATTAAAAATAATCATAACATTGGTTATATTCATCTAGACTATAGGGGAGAAGAAGTCCTAATTTATACTTACGATCACATCTCCCATGCTATTGAATACTTAATCTGTGACTGATCTCAGGAAGAAATTGTGCTTTAGTTGTCTGCCTCACAATTCTGGCTCAAACTCTCGGTGTCTTGGGTCAAAGGGTGAATTGAGAAAATGTTGGAGGTTGTTTTTCTTGAGTTATGAGAAATACGTGCGATCCTACATGGACACAACAACGTGTTGTGCAATAACCATCAACTGTTGACGGATCAGCATCTGCAACAATAGTAAATCTAGCAAATCCACTATCATGAAAAGTTGCATTTGAATGTCTGCACATATTTCAGCATGCGGAGAACACACAAATATTATTTCCCCATTGTTTTGGAATCAGATTGGAACACTACATTAATTTCACAACATGTCGAGGTGGGCTTGTCTTTATTTATTTAGTTTGGAGCGAAAACAAGATAACACATGGTTTTTTGTGCAAATAACTTTATTCAGCATGACCAGAACTCAAGTCCTATGACTAAGGGCACCCCGTTTGGAATGGAAACCTACTCCACAAAGTGATCAGTTGGTTGGACTCATCAACATCACAAAACTCTAAGATGAAAGAATACAAATTAGAGAGGAAAAGACTCCTGACTTCTTTGATTAAATGCGTGTAAAGTAATGCCAGATGGCTTTTCTAATTCAAGATGATCGAAAGTTTCAACAGTCAGCAACACAAGTGATTCGTAAACGACAACTTGTGAACACACTGTTGCAAAAGTGTTGAGACAATCAGGCCACCAGCGGTGGTGTCCTCTCCCTATCCCCGCTCACCTTGATTTGTTGACTCTCAATGAGATTAACATCAGCCCCAATCACGGACTGTTTGTGTACATTCTGTTCTCCGACACCTCTCCAACAAACCGTCCCTCCTCTTTAATCAGCCGTGTGTCGGCGCGCTGTTGCTTGTGTTTGCTGTGTTTATAGTTTGTGTTTATGCCAATGGCTTCCTGTTGGTGTCGTGGCTCTCTGCCTAACTGCTCGCCGATTGGCCCGAATCACCGGCGTCGGGTTTTGAAAATTGCAGCGAAGACGGGATCCGCGATGCGCGTGTTTACATCAGAGTCAATGGGCCTGCGTCCTAACCTCCGTTTTTTAAAGAGCCGGTGCCTTAAAGTGGGGGTAAACACGTCCCCCCTAAAAAGCCAGCCCTTCTTCTCAGACCACAGTTGTGTTCGAGACGAGTGTAATCAGTCGTCTGGAGTCATTTTTCTTGGGTTTTTTTTGGGGCTGCTATGGAGAAAGCGGTTCCACTTGGGTGAAAAGCCCCAAGCTTTGTGAGCATCTGCCCCACCCATGTCACTCTTGATCCCTTTCTCTTTTCCCTTTTCCCCTGTCAGTGACTCTGCCTTTTTCGGGGCAGGACGATCAAATGTCATGACCCCTTTTTTCCTCTCTTTCCTCTCCCCTTTAACTTTCCCTCATCTTTCACCGGCATTCCCGGGTCATCCCCATCACCTCTGATCTCTAACACCTGCACGAGAAGTCCCTAACAAAAAAAAACCCACAGTGGTCTGGCATGAAGGCAGGGAAAGCCATCACGTAGTGGTCATCTACACCGGGTCATTTTAAAATCACAGAGAGTCTCGGGGAATGTTTTGGGAATCTAAACATCCTGTTGTCTCTCTCACAGACGGAAAAAAGCAGGACGCCAACTGTGATTTGCGAAATGTTTGACATTTGGATGGAAGTCAGATCTGCGTGTTTAATATTGTGTTTGGACCACTGGGACAAATCGAATCGTTTTTCTAAACTTTTTTGAGGAAGTTCCCCGTCTTATTTGGTTTCAGCACCACAGAGACGGCAACCGCTGTTTATGCGCATAACTTCTGAAATGGGATCTTTTAAAGCTCATTCTTAAGTTTACTGTTACGTAAACACAGGATTGCCTCATGGGAACGTGGAT